CGCCTCCGCCCGCCCGCTCGCTCTGCGCCCCTCTCGCGGTGGGGCCCGTCCTCGCGGTCTCCCGACGTCACATTTTCTGTTCTTCAAACACTTCGGAGCCGACTCCTGTCCTTGCTCCTGTTCCCCTGGTAGCGTCCTCGCAGCCCTTCTAGGCGCCCTGCCCTTTAAACATTGCCCGCCGGCCGGCCCTGCGGCCCTTCTCGTCTTGTTTGAACCCGATCTTTAAGATCACCGGCTCCCGGCAGCCGCTGTCGGTGAAGGCCCTGGAGGCCCACCCCGGCTTGCGCTTCGGTGTCTTCCGATCAGTCCCGGGGCCTGGACGCCCGGCCGGTGCAGGTCCCCTCCCGCCCCGCTCCCGGCTGCCCCCGTGAATTGGAGAGCGGCCGCACGTCTTTCTGAAGGGAGCGCTTAGAGGATTTCCAGACTTGCATCCTGTATCCTTCCCCTTGGCCAAAGTAGGCAGCATCGATTGCCCAGTTTTTCTTTCTCTTTGCAAGGCAGCTTTTCTCAGGCATCTCTTTCAAGAACACCCCATATTTCTGCCCTAGAAGCTTTGCAGTGAAGCACTTCGATAATTTCCTCTCTCGGTGCTTAACGCTAGTTGCCCCATGTGACAGGTGGGTTCCATTTGCAGTTAAGAGCTAATTCCCACCCTCATTTTTTTTTATAGACATGTTGCTGTCCCCTTCCAATCTCTGCGGCTCACTTGTTCCCCAGATTTGACCTTCCAGCCTTTGCCCCTCATTGAGGCCTCATTGTTTTGCAAGCAGACCCATTCCGTGTGAGTCTTCTTAAAGTGTGCCATGGTTTCTCCAAAACAAGACTTTACTTTCTGTTACGAATACAGCCTGCCTTACTGCTTTTCTTCATGTAGGGCTCTCACTGCCACCTGTGGTTCTTCGCAGGCTTGGGCTCCTTCTCAGTGATCTCTAACTTTTCATCTCTCATTGGTTAGCAGCACTGTCCTTAAATATTCAGGCCAGCTTTTTAGTTTTTTTTGCTTCTCCGTGTTTTTCTTTTTTGGTTTTTTTTTTCCGGTACAGGGAATCGAACTCATGACTTTGCTTTTGCTAGGCAGGCACTGTGCCGCAGAGCTAAATCCCCAGGCCCCTCAGTGTTTTCTTAACACTGATTGTACATCTGAAAAGTCAGTCACCAGGGCACCACCTTCACAGATTGGCCAGATCGTCCTAGGGTGGGGCCTAGTTATTAGCATAATTAAAAAAATTCCCCAGGTAATTCTAATGTAGAACCAGAGTTGAAAAACACTGCCCCCCACCTCAGGATTTAGCGTGTCCTATAATATTTGTTTGGTAAGTTTCAGCTCTTCTCTGTCAAGGGTCTAGTCTGCTTCGGGAATATTTTTGTCTTTTTCTGTTAGTTTCTATCCAGAAGTACCTCAGATACTGTACCTGCCACAGCCTCTTACATTGTCCTACCTCCAGTTTCTTAGTTCTTAGCAATTAGCCGCTTTTCCCCCATCAGTTCTCAAACTCTGATTTGGTCTTCCACTCCATTTTTTTCTCTACATGCAGAAGGAAAATTTACTCCCCATTTCTTTTTTTTTTCTTGTCTTTTTTAGAGAAGGTCTCACTATGCAGTTCAGGCTGGTCTTGAACTCACTTTGTAGCCCAGGCCGGCCTCGAACTCAATGATCCTCCAGCGTCAGCCTCCCCAGGGCTGGGATAACAGGCGTGCATGCCCATCCCCATTTCCTAGTTTGTTATGGGTGTTTGACTTATTATCTTTGGCTCCTGCACCTTCCTTGCCTATAATCTCATATGCTTTTCTGCTTTCCTTTTTTGAGACTTTCCACCTCTGTCCCCCATTCTTTGATTCCATCTTCTCTGACCTGTTCTCTCTGGAACTGGGGAGGTGGAGATGGATTATATTGGATGGTGCTGGATGCAAAGGCTGGTAATTGTAAGAAAGGCTGTGTGTGTGTGGAGGATGGATGGCAGGCAAGAGAGAAGGTAGGACAACCTCAGGGGTGCAGGAAGCAGAGGCACCTACAGCAGAACCTGCTTAAGGGGTATTCCAGGTGGATTTTGTCTCCTGTTGAGTCTGCCACAGGGGCTTGAAAGGTGAGGCCTCTCAGCAGGTACTTTGTGAAGTCCTCTGAATTGGAACTGATCTGGTGTAGATGGCCAGTTCTTTGCAGTTTGAGCCCGAAGAGTTAAAGCATGGGAGCAACTTAGGGGTCTTCTCTGACTGACTTTGAGATACCAAATTCTTCCTCCCTAGCCAGTGTGCTTACATGTAAAGAGGGGGTTGGGTGAGCTCTGAGATGCTTTCCAGCCTCCTAAGTGGCAAAACAGGCTTGCCTGTCTCCAGGGCCTTTGCTTAGTGTGTTGGTAATTTGAGGGGCTTGGCCCTGTGAGAGGCAGGTGGAGGGAGGAGCCAGCTGGTCTGCCAGGGCCTGGGCAGGAGTGGGGCCTTGGATCAGGCTCCTCCACTTTGGCCTGGGGGTGGGGTGGTGGTGTGTGCAGGGTGTCTGGTTTCTTTGAGTTACTGCAATCCTGTTTCCATAGCATGTTTCCCAGCCTCCTCAGGCCTGCTTCAAACTTTCTAAAAGGAATCCTGGTAGAGTCCAAAGGAGGAATTCCGTTAAGAGATAAGAGCTGGATGCTTTTCCAGTCTGTGTTCTTGGTGTTTTATATCCGCAGAGTGGGGAGCTGGCTGGGAGTTTAGCTCCTTTAGCTGGGGGATGGGATCTCCAGCTTCCCTGGCTCCAGTGAGAAACTCAGGAGGTGGAGGCTTAGTTTCCTGGAAGAAGTAGTTGCCGAAGAGCTGGCGGTATTTTGAAAACAAGGCTCTTCCTTTCCAGTGTTGTTCTAATTTGTACCTCTAAAATGTCAAGATTCCTGATGGTAGGGGAGGGAAGAAGACCAATGCAAGCCCCTTTATTGTGTTTTTTTTTGAACATAAGATTTAAACCCAAGAGGAAGCCAAACTTTGTGGCCTTTCTCTGCCTGGATTTGTGGGGCAGGGAGACAGTATCTCTCTGGGGCTTACTTGGTGTCTTGTGGCAGTTCCTTGTGTGGGGAAGCTAGCCCTGACTTGATCACCATGTTGAAATCGGTCTATATGCTGATGGGCTTTGGGGAGATGGAGTTGGTTCTACGAGTGGGTTGTCGGGGGCAGAGGGCACAAGAGCTTAACCCTGGGCTACCCTGAACATACTGAGTGGTTTCCTAGGTAATGGAATAGCTTTCTCTTCTCAAAGAATTCGGTTTTGGTTATTTATTATTTATTGGCACTATGGCTTATTGGGCATGGAGGCGGGTGGAGCCAGTTTTCTGAGTTGTACCTACGAGGTCACCCTACAGAGGAAGAGAAACTCCTAGTCAGGAATCCCCCCCAAATTGGAGATACTTTTGAGAAAGCAACGTGGACTAATAATAGCAATTCCTCAATCTGCCAAGAAATCCAAATTTAGCCTCCGAGCTGCTCAGAAATATAAAAAGGAGGGCTGAGGAGTGGGGTAGAGGGATGTTACAAATGTGTTTCTAGAAAAAAGTAATTCATCCCTTTTTGAAGCAGTATTCAGTGTTGATTCAAGTTAGTGCCATGATTTAGAAAGTTAATTGAAAGGTATAGACCAGAAATGGCCAGTAAGGTGAGCAAGAATTTTGTTACCTGAAGTGAACAAAGCAGGAAGTTTCTGGTTGGTTAGCAGTAGCAGCGGTGTGAAATGCTTTATAGAAGATAAATCTTAAGAACATATCCAAGGCCCTCGATACATACAAACAATGATGTAATTCTATTCTGGGAGGGAAGGCTGGAGACTGATACGCTTACTATACTAATCAGATTGAAGTACTTAGAATGTAAAGTTGGGTTATTTTGGTGGTGTATGTGTTGTGCCTGCTTTTGGCAGATGTGCCACTGTCAGCTGTGTGAGAAGCAAACCTTAGGGGCACAGATGTTCTAGCTGCCATTGTACATGTGTTTCTTGTGGAACATCAACCAAAGCCCAATTTTGCTTTCAGCCTGTGATTCAGAGTGGTGATGTCAGTTTCTTATAATCATGCTTAGTAAGTAGACGCTCTCTGGAACGCGTAACAGCCCTAGTGAAATGACATGCCTGGCATCTGCCCAGGGCCTCTTTCTCAGATGGAAGGGGAACTGGCAGCTGGAAATAGGCCTGTATGGTCACACTAGACTGGAGGTGGCCACCACCTCCCACCTTTCTTCCTATTTCTCTTTTCAGTACATGTTTTGGGAACCCTGGATTGTTCTCCTTTTACGTAAGGATTAGTCATCAGAGATATTCCTAGTCTCCAAAAAAAAGCAGCCTGTTCAAAGGAAGCTAGGACAGTCTGCGTGTCCAGGAAGCAGGGCCTGAGACATGAACTGATCAGAGGAGGGAGATGAAAGAGGGAAATGAATGTAGAATACTGGGAATTTGGTTTTGTGGAGGTAGGTAATACAAAGTTCATCTGATCCTCTCAAGTAATAGAAGTAAGGGAAAAAGGGTACAGACTTGTATGCAGTTGAGGGCACTGATTGAAGTGAAACATGATCAAAAGCTTACTGAAGTGAATTTGAATTCAAGTATTTGTTAGGTTGTGTGGTTATAGAATTATTTTATGTTCAGTCTCAAGTCTGTGCAGCAGGCTCTACTCTGCTTTGAGCAAACTACATACAAAAGTCAAAACTGACATAAAGTCAACTGGAAGTGATTCTTTAACCATAGATCCTTTAGCAAGAGATTTAGGGTTAATTCTTTGCTAGTAAGTACCCTAGAGAATTTTTTTTTTTTTTGTCTTTTTGAGACAAGGTGTTGCTGTGCAGTTCAGGCTGGCCTTGAGCTCACTTTGTAGCCCAGGCTGGCCTCGAACTTGCAACGATCCTCCTGCCTCAGCCTCCCGAGTGCTGGGATTACAGGCGTGCACCACCATGCCTGGCCCCCCCGAGATTTAAAAACAGGATTTAAATTCTAAAAATGTGATTTAGCACCAGCATTTCCCAGTAGTACATCTGTTGCATACACTTCCTGTTGGTAGCCAGTATATGAAATTATGACTTGCTAAGGAATTTCAGACATGGTTTCACAGATGCTTTAGAGGCAGCAGGATTTGATACCACAGTAGCAACTGTGTATACCCTGAGGAGTGTTTGCAAGGGCATGGCCTGTCACAACTGAGAAAATAAAGGCACTAACAGATTGGCTCTCATCTCTCCTCTCTTTTCTGAACCACCCTGGATGTTGGATACTGACAGTCTTACTTCCAGCATGATCTGTTTGTTCTTCTCCTAAAGCAGGACCAGCCCAGCGAGGTGACTGGATTTAGTCCTTCACCTGATCTTTTCAGCCTGTGGATTGAGTTTCTTTTGGTGGTGGAGATTAAATCATGCCTGCCTCCCAGTGGAATGATCAGGATATGAGGAAGGATTGGAAAAAGCTGAGCCATTTACAAATAAGATTAATGTGAATGTGAAATCTAACATAACTTGGACCTTGTGACGGAGAGTTGTGTTTAGAAGCCACATTCTCTTGTGCTTAAATTCTTTTAGGATTCACTGTTCCTAATGAGGTTGGTGGCATATCTTGCTACAGTACTATCTGAACACTAACGTCAGTGTTAGAGAAGGCTGTTGCTGGGCAGTTTCATGCTCCTTATTATCTCTAACCAGTATGTATGTACAAGTCCCTCTTCCCTTCCCACTTCAGAAATGGCAATCAGGTTTTTTGAAAGAGAAACAATTTGCCACTTATTGCAAGTAACTTATAACAAGTGCTTTATAATGGGCAGTGAAGATAATTATTGTTATCTAATGTCCACTAGGCTTTATTCCAGCTGCTTCTCTTAGGGAACTGGATCCCACTGTGAGATCCTGAAACATCGCTCAGACACATGCTTTCTCTTCTGGAGGCTTAATGAGGAGGAGGAGCAAACTCTTTCCACCATTCTTGTGTGTGAATAGGGAAGTAAATGATTTGCTGTCATGGCATGGACTTCTTGCATTTATTTGAAGAGGACAGAGATCAGGAAACCAGAACTGTCACAGGCTCATAGATTAATGGTGGATGAAAGGCAAACTTCAGGGATTATTTGTAGGAAACGAAAGGAGACACTCAAGAAACAGCAAAAAAAAAAAAAACCCAAAACACACAACCTACTCTATTCTGATCGTCTCAGGGGCTTGCTCATTGTTTCTGCTATTTGCATGTGCCAGTTAGCAAAAAATCAAGATGTTCATTGGAACGCAGGCCAGAGGTTCAGTGTAGCTGGAGGGTGTAAAAACTATTTGAGGAATATAGTGGTACTTCGGCTCACGCAATTCTGGAAAAGATGGCCACATTTGAGTTTGTGTGGGAAAAATGGCTGCAGTTGTGTTCTTACCATGTGATGTGGAATTTCCAAACAAAAACATAATTTTACCCGTTGCTTCTGTTTGCAAGATAAATTGTTTGCAAACAAAAATGTTGCTCAGCCAAGGTATCACTGTAATTCCTTTTTTTTTGTTGTTTGTTTTTTTTTCTGGTACCGGGAATCGAACTCATGACCTCACGCTTGCCAGGCAGGCACTGTGCCGCTGAGCTAAATCCCCAGCCCCTATCACTGTAATTCCTTAAGCAGAAGTCTGGCACCAGAATTTTAGAACTGCAAAATCTATTTGTTTTGTGACCCCAAACAGTTGTGACACGCAAGGCAGCACCTTATCTATCTTAAGATTTGCCTAGTCCTTTGATAGCTCCAGTGACCGTGCAAGCAAGCCAGCCAGAAGTGGTTACTGGAGAACGAGAAACGAGTGGTGTGTGTGTGGTGTACCGTTATAAGGGGGAACCTCTCACCCTTGTCTTATTTTTCCTGGCCTGGAGACTATTGTTCTACCCCTTAACACTTTGGAAGGGGAAATCAGAACTTCTGTCCTTGCAATTTGTCAGCAGAAAATAACTTTTTTTTTAAGAAAATAACTTCCGTCCTTGAAATTTATCAGTAGCATAGTTCTCTGTCAACACTCTGTTCGCTGCTGGTAAAGGCAAGAAGAGAGGAGTAAGGATGCCCTGAGGTTTCTAGAGGAAGCAGGAAGGTGGGGCGTGGGGTTATCATCTCTAGATAGTGGTGCTGCTCCAGCCCCAGGGATATTGCCTTGGGAACTCCGTGTGCTCAGCAACTTTCAAGTGTGCTTTTAGGTTCCAGGTGGAATCCCTTGAGATCAGACCCTAAGAGCTGTGCATTGACAAGTTTGGACGAGTCCATTCCTGTCTCAGCTGAAAGGCTAATACGGTCTGCTGGAGGTGAAGGTCTCCCTGGGTTGTCCCTTTGGCTTTTGTTATCATTGCCACATTAGGCGTGGTTTCAGTTTTGTTGCTTTCCACTTAGAAAACCCAGGACTGGCATGAATGTCAGTACTTCGCACTTGGCGGGTTCGAGCTGCCAGCATTACATCGTTAACCATGACCTTGAGGAGAGGTGCACACACTTGTGTGAACTGGCTCCAGCACACTACTGTGGCACTGCTGTGCCTTCTGGGTACCCCAAGGCTGGTATGTTGTGGCTGTGGGACAGGCCCGTTGCTGAGTCAGGGTACATGCAGAGACGATTTACTTCTTGTCCTTCGCTTGTCCTTGGCCAGGGGTCAGCCTAAGGGGCCACTAAACCAGGTTCCCAGGTGACAGTGGAATGAATACACGAGAGCTGGTAGGTCTACCTGAAAATCATGGTAGCCAGTAAGGGCACTTGGAGGTGACAGGAGGCTTCTGTAGGGATTTTTCACCCCCTCACTCAAGGTCACCTCTCTGTCCCCTGCACCTGAGTGTCTGTTCTGACCACATTCCTATGCTCAGGTAATGAAGAGAGAAGCGAAGAAGGTCAAGGAGGCCTAGCATTTGGTGGCAAGCTGGGCACAAGCTTAGATACTATAATCGATGCGCTGCAGCACACCTCTGCTGTGGGAGCCAAAATCCTGGATTTTGTTTTGTTCCTAACTCGGCGAGGGATTTGGGTTCCTTCCCTTAAATGTGAAATCACTTGGAAATTGGCCTTGGGAGTTCCTCAGGGACACGCTACCTAGCCCACATGACTTCACATGGCTCACTCACCTCTTCTTGGGTCTGAGATGGCTGTGTGGGCTTTGAGGTTTTGCCACAGAGGTGGTTGAAGCCCCGCTGGTTTAAGGAAAGACTGTCAGGAGCGCCAGTGTGGGTGCCTAGCATGAAAGCCAGAAGCTGGTTCCTTCCAAGGTGTGCTCAGTGCTGCAGAATTTGGTTTGGAGATCTTTGGTAGATGCTCCTCTGGTTAGACACGTCCGGCTGGGCTGGCTCCCTTGGCTTTTCTGGGATATGCTGTGCCTCTTCAGCTTAAGGGCTCCTTGAAGAGAGCTGTTAACAGCAGTTTTGGAAACAAGCAGGAGGGACAGGGCAGCAGAGAACCCTTTGAACATCTGTGCAGGGAGAGCCAGGGCAGGCATCAGGTGGAGTGTGGGCTAATGAAGTCCTGCGACTCACTGCTTTGCCTTCTTTCTCTTGCAGTAGTATTCTGCCTTTGAGTAACTGTCCCCAGCTCCAGTGCTGCAGGCACATTGTTCCGGGGCCTCTGTGGTGCTCCTGATGCCCCTCACCCACTGTCGAAGATCCCCGGTGGGCGAGGGGGCGGCAGGGATCCTTCTCTCTCAGCTCTAATATATAAGGTAAGAGAGCCTGGGCATGGAAGCATGGGCATCACTGCACTCTGCCAGGGGCAGTGATCTCTCTGGTCAGTCTGCTGACCCCTGGGCCAGGCCAGTAAGGGGAGTGGGAAGGACTTTTTCCGCTAAGGCTACCACACTGGCTTTTCTTGAATTCTAGATGGGGTGGAGGAGGGGTATCGGCACCACTTCCGGCCTTTTAATCTGCTGAGGTTGAGTCCTGAGACTGGGATGGAAGGGTAGTGTAGGGCATGTGAGTTCTGGTCACTGGAAATCATGCCCAGGGGAGGTAATGTGGGCCCACTGAGTCTACCTGAAAGCAGGCTTTGGTTGGTTGGGCCGCGAACTAAACGCTCACAAATACATTTTTTTTTTTTTTTTTAATGTTTCCCTTTTATTTATTGTATTTTATTTTTTTGTTTTTGTTTTTTTCTGGTACTGGGAATCGAACTCACGACCCTCATGCTTGCCAGGCAGGCACTGTGCCGCTGAGCTAAATCCCCAGCCCCTTGATGTTTCCCTTTTGGAGAGGGGAGGGAAAGAATATGATGTTGGGGAGGAGCAAAGGTATTGAGGTCAATATACGGGTGTCTGTCTTAAGTGCTTGTCACAGTGATTGTAGTAGTATATGGGGGGGACAGTACCTTACATACTACTTGGCACCTAGGGAATGCTTGGTAGATATTTCCTTCTCATTATTCTTGCTTTTACCAACATTCTGGTTGTAGCAGTGACCAGTTAGCCAGCATACAGGCCGACATTTCCAGCATGCTCTTTGTCCCATGCTACTGTGAGATTGGCTGAAGGAACTCCCAGCGCCACCTGGCTTAGGGAGTAGATGATGTAGCCAGAAGCAGTAGCGATCTGGGCCTCTACCCTGCTTTCCTGCCCAGGACGAGAAGCTCACTGTGACCCAGGACCTCCCTGTGAACGATGGAAAACCTCACGTCGTCCACTTTCAGTATGAAGTCACTGAGGTGAAGGTCTCTTCCTGGGATGCAGTCCTGTCCAGCCAGAGCCTGTTTGTAGAAATCCCAGATGGATTATTAGCTGATGGGAGCAAAGAAGGGTAAGGAGCAAGTAGGGAAGGAGACCCCCTTGCAGAGGAGGGCTGACAGATTTATAGGAGTCTTCGCTTTTTCCCCTGGCTCCTGGTTTCCAAGAACATAGCATTTTGTAACAGGTCATTTTTAGGCAGTAAAACAGGCCTGCTCTAGGTTTTAAGTTTTAAAGTAGATCATTATCACACGAACCAAATGCCTACCAATTAATAGCCCCATAGTTCACACTTCCTAGGAGATAGCGGGTTCCCCTTGACCCACCCTACAGTGGCCAGGAAGTTCAGACACAGTGGGATAGAACTGGGTTGGGCAAGGCCCTCCACACAGCCTGAGTTCTCTGTGTGCCCCAGCTTTTGAGGAAACTGTTCAGGCTCCAAGTGCCTCTCTCAGTGGCAGCAAAGAACTGGCCTTCCTCTAGATCCCAAATCTTGTCTTATTGAGATGGTTAGTATTACTTTCAGATGAAGAACTATTATAGGAAGAGAGAACTGAGTCACATTTTTCTTAGGGCCTGTGGCTTTTCTCTGAAGTCAGGAACCTTGGAGTCCTGAAATGAGAACTTTCTCCCTGTCGCTTCTATATTATGCTCCTGTTGGGCTCAGGAAAGCCCTATTTTTGGGGTAGTGAGGTGAGAGGGAGATCTGGGGAGGTCGTGGTGGGCCTGACTAGTTCCTTGTTTCCTGCAGATTGTTAGCACTGCTAGAGTTTGCTGAAGAGAAGATGAAAGTGAACTACGTCTTCATCTGCTTCAGGAAGGGCCGGGAAGACAGAGGTGAGAAACAACAGCAGCCTGAGACTTACAGGGTCTGGGGTGGAAGCAAGAGGGCTGCTACACAGTCAGGGGCACCCTTGCGTCTGCCTTATGAACCCTGGAAATCAGGGCTTGTGGGAGCTGCCCTAGGATTAGTGAAGGCAAACCTTTTAGAGACAAGTGCCTGAACTGCAACCCAAAACCCACTTATTTATCACAAAGTGCTGACACTGCAGTTAAAACTGAATACTGAGGTTTTAGTTTAGAAAAGTAACACGTCTGCCATAGGTTCCCGCCACTGGCTAGCGCTTATTTGTTCATATCATTGGGGATTTTCCCTTGAGTTGAGCCTTAACTTGTACTTTTCATCAGAATCCTTTTTATGCTCTTTTACAGCTCCACTCCTGAGGACCTTCAGCTTCTTGGGCTTTGAGATTGTACGTCCAGGTCATCCCTGTGTCCCCTCTCGGCCAGATGTGATGTTCATGGTTTACCCCCTGGACCAGAACTTGTCCGATGAGGACTAATGGTCATAAGAGGATGCTTTGCCCAAGAGCCACAGAGGGAAGGAGGGGAATTCAGGCAGCCCTGGGACACGGAGGGGGCGCCTCCCTGTGTAGGGAGGGATGCTGAGGGGCTCAGGGTGAGGGTGGCCTACTGTGTTCTTGGACTTGTTGAAATTGTTTTCCATAAAGAACAGTATAAACATATTATTCACATGTAATCACCAGTAGTAAATGAAGATGTTTATGAACTGGCTTTAGAAGCTTTTTAAACTGCGCTGTGTGACGTGCTCTATCTAGCCTAAGGGAGGGTGTTACCTAGATGGGAGGGCGTGTCTGGGTCCAGGGGTGCGGGCTGGTGGGCAGCACGGTCAGGCTCCTGTCGTCGTGTCCGTCCGTCCGTCCGTCCGTCCGCCCCCCCCCACCCGCTGTTGGGTTTTCTGTTTCAGTTTTTAAGACTTACGTATTTTATTCCTTTTGCTTCCTGTCACCCCAGGGACTCTTTGAGTGTAGGCTTGTTGGCTCCTGGGCAGTGTCCTTGGGTTGTTTTTGACACTCCACTTTGGCTTCTCTGTGTGTGTTTGTCGTCTGGCCTGGTGTAAGCAGGTCATGACCGACCCTTCCTTCTTTACAGCTTAGTGTTATTCTGGCATTTGGTTAAGCTGGCTTAATCTGTTCAATGTTATCAGTGCATTTTCAATAGGGGCAATGAATTTCACTCCCACCACCAGGGCTTTTTTAGGGGTTCCTGGGCCTTAAACACTAGCCAAACTCCAATTCTCAAGTTACTGCCAGGAGTTTTTTCTCCTGTGGCCCAGGTCCCAAGGTCTCCTTCCTAGGGTCACGAAGAGCAGAGAGGAAAAATAGCAACTCAGGGCCTGGGAACTGTGGGGGAATCTGTTCTTAGGAATGGGATGGCTCTGGCTGGTGGAGCACCGCCTGCCTCCCCCAGCGGGTTCCAAGCAGTGCCTGAGACCCTGCTCTGCAGGGCCAAGGGGGAGGCCTGGGTGGGGCAGTGGCCGGCCCTTTTCTGTTTCCACTGAACAGTTTGTTCTAAGGGGAGAGGAAGGGGGAAGAGACCACAACTGGGTGAGGGGAGTGGGGGTGTCAGAAAGGCAAGTGTGTTGTGTTACTGTGTCAATAAACTGATTTAAAGTTGTGGTTGGTCTGTTCTTTTCTCCTGTACCGGAACCAACATCTTTTGGGTCCAGAGCAAACTTACGTGCGTCTTGGAAAAAGCTGCCATGTCATAGGGCAAATAAGCTGGCAAGGTCTCTGGGGCCAAGCTACACCCTGGAGTGTGGAGTTGCTAGGAGCCCGGGATGTGCTGCTGCAGGAGCCCCCTGGAGAGACAGGTGTGTATACATGAGCTTCGCACAGAATAGAGGCTCCGTAGAAGCCCAACCTTCCTCCTTTTACAGGAAGGCTGGGTTCTAAAACTAGGTTTTGGGTTTGTGTGGAGCTGCCTCACATTCTCCTTCCTGAGGTCTTTGAAGGAGGCAGCACACACACCTTCTCTATTGTAGTTTTCTCCTCTGAGATCCTTGTTGGAGCGTCCAGTCCCCTCTGCCACTATCCTGAAGAGTCTGTCAGCGGCACTGTAGGAGGCTGGAAGCTCCTTTACCTCTGTTCGCTTTCAAAATTCTCTTAACTAGCCTTTTTTCCTTTTTGATCATTTTCCCCCTGAGGGCATGTTCTTTCACCTCCTACAGTTTTTATGACCCTTACCTTCTCTGTGGGTCTCTACTGGTTTTTATGGCCTGTTCCTTGTGTTTTACTCTGGACCTAGTCATTAACCTTGGGCTCCACCTGCTGTTCCTTAAAAGAAGTGAACTCAACACCTCCACTCCCCACAAGTATTATTAGAACAAATCTGGGACTAGACACATTGAGCGGAAATCAGAATGACTGAAAATGTCTCTCCCACTGAACAAATGACTCCTAGAGGCGGCATAAAGGCAGAAGGCAGTTTCAAATTCTTACATTAAATCTAATGAATCTACATGAAGACAGGGCTTTTAAAAAGACAAACCCCAGGGCCGGGGATATAGCTCGGTGGCACGAGTGCCTACTTGGTAAAAAGACAAATCCCAGCACTGGGAGGCTGAGGTGGGAGGACTACAAGTTCGAGTCCCACCTGGGGATCTTAGCAAGACCCAGTCTCAAAAAATAAAAAGTGTGAAGGATGTAGCTCAGTAGGTTTGATCCCCAGTACATGGGGAAAAAAACCCCACAACTCCACCCTTTAGCTTTTTCCCCAAAGCTGGCAGAACGGATGGGAACATGCTTAAGATCCAGATGCCGTCTGTTTTTTCCTGTCCAATACGACCAGAATTAGAAGCACTGAGTCAAGCCCCGTTGTCCAGTCAAGGTTCACCTTTCAAGAAAAACTGGTTAGTGAAGACGACTGGTAGGGAATGCAGTAACCAAAGGAGCACGCTCCAGTTTAACAAGCAACTTAGAAGGGGTGGTGGAGAGGGATGGGAGAGATGTGCAAGGCAAACTAAGTCTAAATTTAAGAACAGGGACATTAAAAACTTTATTCAATAAATACAACAAATAATTTAAAAATATACTTCAATTCCAAAGCCAATTAAAGAAGTAGAGAAAAAGGAAAAGGGGTAGGAGGAAGGTGGGTGGAAAGAGGCTGAACAGGGGCCTGATGGGGCTGTTTCAGAAGGTACGGCCCTTTGAGAGTCTGACCCCATGCTCCTGACCCATAAACCATTAGCCCTTGTTCCAATGGGGTGACCACAGTAGTCCACCCGACAGGAACGGCCCAGTGGGCTCTGGATCAGAGCACCCAGAAGCTGGAATGGCTGGGCAGGGGGAAACAGCGTTGGAAGTAGTTTCCCCACATTCCTGCCAACCATCCATCCTGACTCCCATGCAGGTTTAAACAGTGCGAACTCTTAGGCAGAGAGCTCCCAGCTGCGTAGTTTGACAGCAAGTGTCCAAAGCCATGTTGGTGAGTGGGATCCAAGGGTGAGGAGAGGGCCAGGGCACAGCATAAAGCTCCCAGGCGAAGCCAGTGGCCAGGTCAGAGGACAGTGCTGGGTGGGGGAGGGGGACAGGGCAGGCAGTCTGGACGGGACTCGGCAGCTCGCCGTCAGCCAGGGCGGGGGAAGCTGAGGACCCGTATGGAGCACGACACCAGGAAGGCAGGGAAGTTGAGGGAGGACAGAAAAGTGGGGAGAAGGGAGGAAGCAGCTCAGCAGCAAACTTCAGGAGAAATAATCAGCAGCCCTCACAGATTTGTGATTGTCTCTTAAAAAGATTTATTTTCTCTTCTTGCCTGAATGTACAAAGGCAAAAAGAGTACAGTTTGTATATATATATATTTATATATATATATAAAAAAACAAGGAACTTGGTAATGTACACTTTACAGAAGGGAAGAATCAGGAAGACTGAAATTAAACCCAACAGAGCAACGCCAATGGAACAAAAGCTATGAACAGCAACGTGCCCCTCCAGCCCGGGCCTCCAGCTTGCCCCAACCTGCTCCCGAGGGGAGGGCTGAGCACCAAGGCAAGCGGGCGGGCTGGGGCAGGAGGGGCGGAGACAGGGCTGGGAGGGGCTTGATCCCAGGAGGGGCCCACAGTGGGAATCACTGGAAAGCTTCCGGGGGAGCCCTCGCCATAAAACAAATAACAGAGGCCCAGAATTGTGGGGCCAGCTAGCTGCCCAGTTGAATCTTAGGGGCATCAGAGTAGACACTGGGATGGCGATAGGGTATGTGTGGTAGTAAGTGACGCGAGGGGGCCATAAAGCCTGTATCCCGTTCTCTAGCCCTTCTGCAGTCTTCACCCCCAACTGCTGAAGCTAAGCCCCACCCTGCCCTGGAGCCTGGAGAGGAGATTCAAGAGCGGACCACTTCATTTCGCAGGGCGCCCTCGTAGCCTTGTGTGTGTGGCCCTTTGACCTTGAGGTGTGTGGAGAGTGGGGCGAGAGCGGGACACTTCATACATGTACACGTCCATGTATAAGGCAGGGCCGGGTGACGGGAACTCTCACACCTTAAATAGGAAGAAGCAGATGTGGACCCTAAAGAGCAGCTCTCTAAGCCCAACTATCCTTCCCGGCAGGGCCTGGCAGGGGTGGCTCAGAGAGGGGCTCAGCCTGGTGGCCTTGGTCCCAGCAACGACCTTGCCCAGACTTTGCATGTGGGGGTGAGGAGCTGCGCTGTCTTCTCCCTTTGAGTCTGTCCCGGGTGTCACAGGTGCTGTTCCTTTCATAGAGAGAAGCTGGAGGTGAACAGAAAACCCCTCACTCAGCATGTGGCAAGGGACGCCATAGCCGCCGCCTGTCACTCCAAAGTGAGGGGTGACCCAGGCCGGAGCAGGGCAGACAGTGCCGTCTGCCACCGGGGCTTTCCCTTGCTCCTCTGGGCAGCCCCTACACTCCAGGGGAGACCTGGCTATGTTTTTTTAAGGGAAAATTTTAAGAATCAGCCGTTCCCTTCTGCAGAACTCAGCTGCCCTGCAAAGACAGAAGGCCCTCCTCTCTGTTACAGAACAAACTGGAAAGAGCAGGAACGTGGACTCACTCCTGCCGGGAGAGTAAGGAAACTGCTCCAGTGGTTTCTTTACACTATGTACAGAGCACGCTGCAGGCCAGCGCCACAGATACAAAACACACAACAACAGTCAAAAACAGGAGTAGAGATGGGTGAGTGGCTCCACCCACAGGAGCCTGGCAGGCAAAGGCAGGCTGAAAGCTGGTCACCCTCTTGGGAGGGCGGCCCAGGTCAGGTGGGTGAAGGTGTCCACACCAGCAGCTTCCACGGATGGAAGGGAGGGGACTGCTCGGGGCACTGCCCACTGGGGCAGCAGAGGAATGAGGGCTGAGCGAGGCTGTCAGGGGCCCTGAAAATAGGTCTAAAACAATGAGCTTTGTGGGGAGCTCAGGACCCAACTTTAAACAAAAGCAAAGACACGGAAAAACCTAGAGGAACGTCTGTGGGTCGCAGAGGAGCTCCGGTTCTTAGACACTACCCTCACTGGGAATTGTGCTTACTGGCCCCAGCGCTCCGCTCTCAGATTAGGTCAGAACCACCTTCCTGCTCTCAGCGGTCTCTTTTGGCACTCTGGTTGCAAAGCACCCTTCTTTAGCCTAGGCTGGTGTCTGTTGGTCTTTCTCTTAATCTGGAGGGCTAAGGAAAGACAGGAGGGGAGAACAGAGGCGTGATGCCTCAGAAAAGTAAGAAGAAGCGAAAGCTCCCACACTTTGGGGAGCTACCAAATCATCATCACCTTCTCAGTGCACAAACATAAAGCTCTGACCCAGAGAGATTTTTCTAAGGAGAGCAGAGAAATGTCAGCTGCCTCCGAGCACAGCCCAAGCCACTCTGGCTCCCGTGAGCAATGCTTAGGTGTGTCAGCGTAGGGTCTGAGGACACATGACCTCCCAGAGCCGGTGGCCCCCACAGAAACTGTGTGTTACAGAGACACACAACCTGCACCGGCACACACGGAAGGTACAGACTGAGCTATATAAAACCATGTACTTGTGGACAGAACTGGGCTGCGTACTTCTGTGGCCCCAGCTGAGGCAGATACTCGGATGGCTGAACACACGGGACATCTCAAGAACTGCTGGGTGCTCCGGGCCTGCCTGCTGGGCTTTGCCCTCCGGTGAGCTGGCAGACTCCTCGGGCCCCCATTCTGGGGGAATACTGCTTTATCTGCCTGAATCTTGAGAGCCAAGCAATGGAAAAGAAGAGGTGAAATCGGCGTGGGGTCCCCTAGGAAAGGCACCAAGGGGTGAGGACGGGAGAGAAAAGGGCACGGAGTGGGGAGATAAGCAGCAGGACGTCGTGGGACGCAGGTTCAATTTCACAGACTCCGTTCACACTCCAGCTCTCTCCGCAGCGGCCGGGAGCCCTGTGCTGGTGTTGGAAGCCCCGCCTCTGCCTGCTGGGTAGCTCAAGGCCCTGTGGGGCGAATGCCTGCATCTCCCTCTCTAGGCTGGGCTCTGAGCATTTATCTGTGCTCACGAGTGAAGGGGAAGTCTCTGTGTTTGAAGACCTTGTTTTCATAACTACAGAGAAAACAGCCCCCAGTTTCTTTCCTGAGATTCTAATTCTTCCACATGCTGCCAGTTCCCAGGGCCCAAACCGCTGGGGAGGTGTGGGATCTGGTGACAGTGGGAATGGCAGCGAGAGGGGGTGGCTGCTGTGCTGTCTTCAGACCTTACCCAGTACGTGGGGCCTCCCTGCAGGGGTTGGGTGGTACTGCGCCGGGAGCAGAACGGGACCCGGGGAACAGAGCAGGGACTTCTCTGGGCTGAGGCCGTGTTCCCCTGGTTGCTTCCCATGCCTTCGTCTCCAGAGAGGCCACAGCAGTCACGGTTGTGGCTGAGAATAAATATTTTTGCTAAGTACCAGCTCTCCAGCTCCTGAGGAAGAGGGAGGGTCAGGGAGTCCGGGGTCTGGAGGAGGCGATAGGCAAGGGTCTGCCTTCAGTCATGTTGGAACGGCAAACAGGATGACCAACACCATCTAACTGATGTCTGAATGGCACCTCCAGCACCTCCTTGGGTGAGGCAGTCCGGCCCGTGAAGCTGACTTTATCCGGGCACTTGTTCTGCAAGGGAAACATGGACAGGTAACCAGGCACTCAGCCGGCTGGCATAACAACCACAAGATGGCGCTCCAAGAAAAAAGAAAACCACCTCAGGGAAGATCCGAGCTGTCCCTAGGGGACATGTGTGTGCCACAAGTCCTCTCAGATGCGCACAGCTTCCCAGGAGAGGCAGGCCAGGGTTCCACCTTCCCAGACCGCTGACCCTACACAGTCCCTCACCTAGGCCCCAATGGGGATCCTATGACCAGGCAGCAGCTGGCTCTACTCTCTGGCCCCGAAGGAACAAAAATCACTCACCATTCTCACCTCCTGGGTGGTGGGTAGAGCGAGGGCGTTGAGCCTTGCTGGCTAGCAACAATGGCTGTAGAAGAAAGCCCTGAGCAAGCAGGAGGACAGGTTAATATGGCGCTCACCAGAAACAGACCAGAACCAAACCAAAGAAACCAAAATCTTCCCCCACTTTTTTACCAGTCCTGGCCTGAAGCTGGTCTCGTGTATGCTAGTCAAGCACTCTACTACTGAGCTACATTCTCAGCTCTTTTATTTTTAAATTTTGGGACAGGGCCTCCCTAAGTTTCTCAGCCTAGCCTCAAATCTGCAATCCTGCTTCAGCCTCCCAAGGAGCTGAGATTTACAGGTCTGTACCAGTGTGCCTGCTGGAAACCTCCCCTTCATATTCCCCTGTCTCCAGCTGGCTGGGTGTGGGCAGCAATTTCGACTTCAACTCCTAGCTCTACTTTTTTTTTTTTTTTTGGTTTTTCTCCGGTACCGGGAACCGAACTCACGACCTTGCGCTTGCCAGGCAGGCGCTTTCTGCCGCTGAGCTAAATCCCCAGCCCCTCCTAACTCTACTGAGTTGTGAGGTGCTGACAAATGAAACAGACCTACCACTTGGCCAAGTATGGTGGCCGGGAACAGACAGTGTGGCTCTGCTACTCAGTTGCTTGTTTCTCTTTGGCTATGGCAACACCTGTTCCGTATTCTTTTGAGTATCAAAGCCAACATGCTGGAAGAGTTTGAGAGTCCTCAAGCTCCAAGGGAGGAATAAATGTCATATGCTCTAATGACTATCTGCAGCAGGCTACGACTTTGGACAGATTAGCAGCTTAGGAGAAAAAGATTCTTGTGGGAGACAAAGAAAAATGGATGGTAGGGACAAGAGGCTTACCTGCTGCATAGGGCAGGTTGTACTGCGTGGGGAGCAGTGAGTACCCCAGGTGGTGGTGGTGGTGGTGTGTGGACATCAAGCGCTGGGAAGGGGAGGTGCGTGGCCGGTCAACACTCCGCTCAGCTCCGCCTGTTCCCCCGACACTGCTGCAACTGCCACCACCTCCAACCACCCCACAGCCTCCCCGATCTCGCTCCTGAGAAGTTTTATCGCTTATCTGGAAAGAAGGGGAGACAGAGAAGCACCATGGTGACCTGCAGAGCAGAAAAGTAACCCGTGCCCAACATTCAGCAGGACTCCTAGGAATCGAGGAGGGGGCCTGGGGCCGATGTGAAATCAGTGGAGCTGCACTGTCATCAGGAGCTGAACCGGCCCACCTTCTCCAAGACCCCAGATGTGGCCTCACTGGCGTCTGGGGGACACCAGAGGGGCGCTGCGCTTCCCTTACCGTGGGGGACTTGCTCTTGTAGTGGCTGGCGTGCTGCTGCAAGATGTCCAGGGCTTTGGACTCTGAGCTGGATTTACAACTGACACTGGGGCTGGCTCGTGCCTTCTCGGCATCTTCACCACCTGAGACCTTGCTGCCGTATGGGGAGAAGGAGTAGCTAGAAGGCAAGTAGGAACCTAGCGAGAGAGAAATCAAGCTTTCAGAGAGGCGGCGGGCAGGGGAATCTCCACTTCAGGGTGGTCAGGTGGGCATCAGCCCACGGAGGCACAAGCTGAGGTTACTTGCTGCCATGGTGACTTTGGGGTGAGACTACTGGCCTGTCCTTTCTTTCCGTAACTCTACAGGGGAGATGAGTAAAGGGACTAAGGAACAGTTTCTTGAAGCCAACTTCCCCACATCCACTACGGTGCTCTGAATACAGCAGTCTTGGATTCATCTTGGAGCAGCGGTACAGTAAAGTAGAAGGCTCACAGAATTTATACTCAGAGGGGATGGGGATCCTCCATACCTCTGAGACTTAATAGCTGGTAACCTTGCACCAACTAACCACTTTTCTGAGTTTCATCAAAACAAAGATACCAATATCCTATTGAATAATGTACAAAAATCACCCAGGACGGGTCCACTGGCCAGGACAGTACAAGCTCTCAGCAAATGGAATTATTATTTGTACAGAGATGGACGTGGTGGTAGGGAGTGAGGAGCACCTCAAGGGTGAGACAATTTTGAAAAGGTTTCTTGTCCTACTTGGAGTTCTGATCATGTCACCACAATGCCAGGCTATATTTATGCTATAGGAAGCTGGGAGTTTTAGGAGTGAGAAGTGCCCACGTTGGTCTGAGTCTATTGCAGGCTGGGAAGGCTGGAGGGGTGGGGCGGGGCTGGATAAAGAGAAGCCAGGCAGCGGCATCTGAACAGGAGGGCAGGGTTCTGCAGCACAGAGGGGTGACTAGATTTTCATGCAGCCTGTTACATATTTTACGAAGATCCTGAAGAGGCGCTCGCAGGCTCCAAACATAAATGGCAAACAGGGAACTGCTAATCACCCCAACAGGATCAGTGCACACTGTGTGCATGTGTGGAAATACCACAGTAAACCTCATTAATATTATAATTAGTATGTGGACCAGAATAAAATAACAAATGAACAAAATAGAGGTATGCTCCCACCCCAGAAAAATTTCATATGGCTTGTTAGGCAACAGCAATCAGTCAGTGAGCTTCTTTCTCTAGCAAGTTAAAAAAGATTTAAACTCCAACTCTGTATCCCCCCAAAAGAACTGACAGTGGTGTGAAGAGTTAACTGCTCCTCACGGGACACCCTGGCCTAACTTCAAGCTGTTCTTCCCATCGCTACCCACTCACTCCAGGCCTCCAGCTGAATCTGCGCAGGCTCTGAATCCCTGCATTGTTCTTAGAGGACTTTATTTGTCCCAAATGTCTGAAAAAAAATCCTGGGAGAGAGAAGGCCACGATAGGATGGCAGTTTTACCCATCAATGAAAATGGACCGTAGAGGTAGCCCTGCAGCTGGAGCGAGGGAAGGAGAGGTGGTCCCTTAGACTGTAACCAGGGGTCACTTAAGGAGCTATGAGTGAGAGTGGCCACTTTGTGAAATGACACAATCAAATAGGTGCTGTCATCGTGCATGGAGGCCTGGGGCTGTGCTTGTTCCCCGTCCCGGTGCTGTACCTGGGTAGTTCTGCATCATCACAGCAGGCATGCCCCGGTAGCTGGGGTGGTTGGGGTCATAGGACTGGCTGTAGGAGTAGCCGTGCATGTAGGGGATGTAGGACTGGTGCTGGGTGAGCGGGGAGGACACAGGCACATGGACACTTGGTCGGGGCTCCTTGCTCCCAAGGCGGGACTCCTCAGACGTGGGCAGCTTGCAGTCACTGCTTGTGCTTTCCTTCCCATCTTCCTTGGGGACAGAGTCCTTACTCCGACTCCTTTCCTCCTTCAATTTGCGGTCTCGCTCCTCTTTCCACCGCTCATCCTCTGACTTGATGTCGGAGTACTTGGCAGGATACACGTACGTCCACATACGGGGCTCTGCCTCCTACAACAACCACAGAATGAGAACTGGGTGTGCACACCTGAGACAGACAGAAGTCTCAAAGCAGGCAGTTGCTAGGGCCTAGGCAGGGAGTACCTTGGTTATGGTTTGTTTGTTTATTTATTTTTGTCTTTTTGAGACAGGGTCTCACTCTGCAATTCAGGCTGGCCTTGAACTCACTTTGTAGCTCAGCTTGGCCTCAAACTTGCAACAATCCTCCTGCCTCAGCCTCCCACGCTGGGATTACAGCCATGTGCCACCATGCTCAGCCAGTCATGGTTTAAAACCCAATTCTATTCTCTCTTGCTTAAAAGTTTTCCCGCTAAAGGAAATGAAGAAAAAGCAAACCATCAGCAGGTGTTTCCTAGGCAAGAACAAGAACTTCAGGGCAGGAGTCCTGGAACGGAAGGGGCAGCCTCTCCAGGAGGGGAGATAGCTTCCCTTCTTCAGAGCAAGCTTGGGATAGGGAGCAACTGTTGCCACCTGGATCACAGGAGCAAGTAACTGGCACCAAGAGGGAAGGGAAGACATTCTAAGGTTCTAACTGGAATTTTTTTTTTTTTTTTTTTGGTACTGGGAATTGAATCCAGGGCCTCTGACTCAGTTATAGTCCCAATCCTTCTTAATTTATTTATTTGTTTATTAACATAGGGGGTTGAACCAAGACCTCTGCATGGAGTTTCATCCCTAACCCTTTTTCAATTTTATTTTGAGACAGAGTTTTGCTGAATTGCTAAGTTGATCAGGCTGGGATTGAATTTGAGATCCTCTTGCCTCTGCCTCCCAGAATGCAGAGAGTATAGGCATGTGCCACTATGCCCAGTTTATAAAATCCTTTTTAAAGTAATTCAGTAACTGAGTGGTGTATTTTTTACTTACTCTAAAAAAATGGAGTGACCACCTTAACTCATTCTGTTGGAACCTAATTAGTGCAAAAGGTATTGGGTTAGGAATAAAGGTTTTCTGGGTTCTAGTCCTGACTCTGCTAGTGGAGGTTCAAGTAACTCTAGACCAATTAAGCTAACATACCTGGGTCTTTCTTGTCAGATGGATAATACTGTTTTATAGAACGGAAAATGTACTGGGAGTGATGCATGCCCAGCACTCAGGAGGCTAAAGCAAGAGGAGTGCGAGGTTGAGGCCGGCCTGGACTACACAGTGAGACCCTGCCTCAAAAACCTATATACCATATCAAACCAAAGTATACAAAAAAAAAAAAAAACCCAAATATGAAAATGGTTCACAAAGACAAAGAAATTCTGCAAGTATATAGCTTTCTTGCTACTCAACGGTATGGAAGCCTGACGTGTGAGGGAAGAGCTTCCCACGCAGCATTTACACTTCCTCCCAGGGGCGTCAGTTACCTGTCGGTACCAGAGAATGGGGTCCACCTCTGCCTGGCGGCCACACTCAGTGCCTGGCTTGCCCTCCGAGGCCTCCTTTCCTAGGTGGGTGGCCTCGCTGAGCTTCGCCTTCAGACCTTCCGGGGTGTGGCTGGGGAGTCTGGAGGCATCGTCCAGTTTGGGAATGATGACTGACTTGGCGGGGTCATTCCCCGGCTCCTTGGCCTTGCCAGGCCCCGACTTCACCAGGTCCGTGAGGCTGGGGGCCTTGGTGAGGGTTGGTGGGATGGATGGTTTCTGCTTCCACTCCTCCTTGAGCACAGCCTCGCGGTCCTTGAGGCCCAGCTCAGCCTTCTTGTCGGGGCCCCGAGGTGGCTCCAGGCCCTGGCGCTTCTGCTGTTCTTCATACTGCTGCCGGTAGGCCGCGTTGGTGCTCAGCAGGTGTGCGTGGTAGCCCTGGTCGCCGTAGCCATAGGGCGGCACGTAGGCGTACTGGTTGTAGTACAGCGACTGCATGTACATGTTGGGCCGCTGCTGGATGACTGAGGGTTGCTGGCTGGCACCGCTCAGATCAGGCTTCTTTTCCTCACATAGGTCATTCTTCCCTTTGCCCTCCAGGCCCTCGGGCTCCTCCTCCTTTTTTGGCTTCAAGGCCTGGCTCTCCACGCCCACCTGGCTGCCAGGGTTCAGAGCCCCGGGGCTGGACTGGGCATAGCTTGGAGAGTAGTAGCTCTCAAAGCCTTGGTAATACGGGGAGTCTTTGCTCTGCGGCTGAGGGGGAAAGAGGGTTTTCTTAGCCCCTTCCTTCACCAGCTGCTCTGGGTCCTTTGACTTGAGGCTGTCTACCTTGCCCTCCCCATCCTCCCCTGCGTCAGAGATGTCGGAGTAGGCAGGGCTATTGGTCTTTACTGAGCTCGCCTCCGCCCCGTTCTGGGTCACCACATGTAAGGGCGTCAGGGGCTGGGTTGGGGGTGTGCTGTCCAGGCGGCTGCCGCCTCCAATGGAAGGGCTGGGGGCGTTGTCTGTGAAGCTATAGATCTTGTCGGCCTCTGCCTTGATGCTCGCCAGGCGGCTTTGGTGGGGGTCAGAGGAGCCATTCAGGAGCCCCTCTATCTTCGCCCCATCTCCTGACGATTCCCTGAAGGGGCTTTTTCCTTCTTCTGCTCGACAGACCTTCCCAGGGGTGAGAGGACTTTCCAGGTCCTTGGACGACTCCTTCTTCTTTTTGTCCTTCTTCTTCTTGTCCTTGGCGGGCGTCAAGGCGGGGCTGGCTGTGAAGGGCTCCCCCATCACGGTGGGCTTGGGCTGGATGGGCTTGAGCTGCGGGCTGTTTGGCACGGCCTGCACCACTGTGGCGGTGAGGCCTGAGGACGAGCCCGGGCTCGCCGCCGTGAACGTGGCCGTCTGGAAGGTGTAGATCTGCTGCGGGGGGATGGCAGGCGCGATGGGCCGGGCTGATTTCAAGCTCTTGGAAGGCATCTTTTCAGGTTTCAAACTAGAGGGTTTTTTACATTTTTCTTTTTCCATGCACTTTCTTTCCAAAGAGTCAAAGGCATCATTACTTGTTTCGTCCATGACTGACGGCCCATCCTCAGAGCCGTCATTGGATAAGGCCCCGAGGTCCGTGTCCCCTTCCCCACTCAGCTTTTTCTTACAGAGGCCTTTTGTGCTGAATTTGCTTGACGGAGAAGGGCTGTGGGGCTCTACGAGCCGAACTTTGGGGGTAGCTGAGCGGGCAGGGGACAGGGAGCCTTTCTGGGAGACGGGCGCTCCATTGCAGCTCACGAGGTCTGCGTGGAGGGCGGGCTCCTCTCCATACTCGCTGTCTCCATCTGCTTCTGGCTTGCTGTCCTCGTCCGTGTGGGCGTGGGCCTGGTGGTACTTGAGCCCGTTGATGTGCTTGTACTTCTTGTTGCAGTTTGGGTGGGGACAGTCAATCAGGACTGGGGAAGGACAGTTTCTATCCAGGACGGTGGGCTCCACCTTGGTCCCAGGGAGGGGGCCAGTGGCTGAGCCCATGGAGTTTGTCCGGACTCGCTTGCTCCCCTTGGAGTCCTCTGAGCTGGAATTCAGCTCCATGTCTGACAGGGGCTTGTTTTTCCTCTTACTGGCAGAGGAAGGGCTGGCCTTGACATCCTCAGACGAGCCGCTGGCAGGTGGGCGATGCTCTGAAGAATTCTGGCTGCCCCGACGGCCTTTGCTGCTGGCTCCTGCTCGCGTTTTGCTGCTGCTGCTGGTCCCTTTGCTGTCAGAGGCAGTGGCCGTCTCACTGACAGGGGTGTTACTGTTGGGACGCATGCGTTTGCCCCGCCCTCGACCGTTGCGCATTTCCAGGTCACTGGTGGGGGAGTCACAGAACCTTGGCAAAGGATAAACACAATAGCATGTTAGTAAGAAGAGAAACAGCTGGGGCTGTGGGCTCACCCCTGTAACCCCCAGTTACTGGGGAGGCTGAGGCAGAAGGACCACTAGTTTGAGGCCATCACACTGAGCTACATCCCTAGCCAACACTCCTTTCTCCTTTCCCTCCCATTTTAAAGTTTTTATTTTGCCAGGTGTGGTGCTATAATCCCAGCACTTGGGAGGCTGAGGCAGGAGGATCACGGCAAGTTGAGGCCAGCCTAGGCTACGTAGTGAGTCCAGGTCAGCCTCAGCTACACAGCGAGACCCTGTCTCAAAATTAAATAAATGAAGTTTTAATTTTGAGATAGGGTCTTGCTAAGTTACTACGTTGCCCAGCCTAGACCTGAACTGGTGTTCCTCCTGCCTCAGCCTTCCCAAGTACTGGGATGATAGGCATGAGCCACCCAACCTGGCTTCTTTCTCCTCTCCTGCTCTGTTTTTTAAAAATACATGTTTGTGATACATAGAAAATATATTCATCATGGGGAGATTGGTACCTATACAGCACCTTGATCCTTTTTACCCCTTCCTCATCTCCCCAGTTCTTTCATTTTTGTTTGAGACAGAGTCTTGCTATGTAGTTCAGGCTGGCTTTTAAACTCACTGGGTAGCACAGGATGGCCTCAAATCTTAACCCTCCTATCTCAGCCTCCCCAGTGCTGGAATTACAGTGTGTTGCTATCATGGTACATTTTGCAAAAACATCTTTAAACCAGTTTAGCTGAAGCCTCTGAAGAACCTTTTGGATGATGATCATTACTCTCAATAAATATGATCTGATGAAAGCACTTCTGATTGTGTGAGACCATGTTAACGAGGAGCTCCTAAGTTGCTAGCCACATACTGGTGGTAAATTCTCCCCAACCTTCCTCTCTAAAGCCCTGCAGTTTGTTCCATCAGGCAGAGGCAGTCACGTGGCCAGAATCATGGTTTCAGAAAGGACTTTAAAACCTCACACGGGCTGAGAGTGGTGGTGCACGCCTGTAATCCCAGCACTCGGGAGGCTGAGGCAGGGATATCATTGAGAGTTCGAGACCAGCCTGGGCTACAAAGTGAGCTCATGGCCAGCCTGAACTGCATAGCAAGACCCTGTCTCAAAAAACAAAACAAAACAAAAAAAAACCTCACACAGACACTGAGGCCAGGCCTGCTGCAACCCTCCAGCACTTACAGGCCTGACAGATTGCCATGACCAGAATCCGCCTCTACTTTCAGCCCAATGTTGTTTTCTAAACCCCTTCCCACAAAGGTACACACAAGTAGAAAAAGCACTTGCCCATTTAGGAGGCCCTGAAATCCATCACAGACATCAGACTCAGCAGGACATGCATTATTTCAGTGTCTGGAGATTTGCACTAGGAGACATTTCTGATCCTAAAGTTGCTTTTCATGGAGCCCAAAACACTGTCTAAAAGTAAATACTCAGCTAAGGGTAGTTCCTGTTTGGACCTGGTTTTGACTTTTGCCCTAGGGGGATATGGAGCAGATTGTTTCTAAGACTCTGGAAGCCACAGTGATGGCAGAAGAAAAGCAATCGCTAAACTGCCCAGGCTGGGCTCAACCCTCCTGCTGTCGCTTCCCACAGTGCTGTGACTGCAGGTGTGCAACACCACACCTAGCTTCTCTTCCTCGTTCCCTCCCTCCCTCTCTTTCTCTCTCTCTCTCTCCCTTCCTCTTTCCTTTGAGGTGGGGGGCTCACTCTATGTCACCCAGGTTGGCCTTCAACTCGGCCTCTGGAGTAGCTGAGATGACAAGTGCTTCACTGAGTTTGGCTTGATAACAGGGTTTCTGTGGTCCATGCTGGCCTCAGGATCGCCTTGCCAAGCCTGGGGGTGCTGGGAACTGACCCCACTTGCAATGCCTGTGACGGTGAGGGACATGTGAGCGTGTGGCAGCTGCATTAAACGGGCAGCTCCCAGGGTGCTGTGTGCACACTGTAAAAGATTCCGTAACATTTGGGCTCCTCACACCTCTGGCAAACTGGGTCCTAATTTTAGGAACAGACTGTAAGATGCCACTCACTGAAAGGTTAATCTTTCCTTTTAATTAAAAAAATTTGTGTGTGTGTGTGGTACTGGGAATTGAACCCAAAGCCTCATGTGTATCAGCCAGTGATTTACTGCTGAGCTGTGCCCCATCCCCGAGATGGTAATCTCAGGCAAATTACAACCTGAGACAGTCCTGGGAAGCCGATAAAGGCTCGTAGCATTCATAAAACTGAAAATGTTCTTGAGTTTATGTTTCTGAAAAGCAGCTATCATTACGAAGCATCACCAGTACATACCTGTTAACTCAGACTTGACGGCCTTGGTTTCCATGCGGCTAGGGGAACAGAAGCTACAACGTGTAGGGGCTTAAAAAGAATTTCTCCTCATCCTGGTATGTTCTCTCCCACTCAACACTTGGGCATGTAAGTCACTGTTCTTTTTTATTTTACTTATTTATTCTGTTTTTTTTTTTGGTACTGGGGACTGGACCCAGAGCCTTCATACTAAACTACATCCCCAGCCCTTTTTAGATTTTGAGACAGTCTTATTAAACTGCCTAGAGGAGCCGTGAACCTGCAATCCTGCCTCAGCTTCCTGAGTGCTGGGATTGCAGATGTGTCACCAAATCTATCTTATTTATTCTGTTTATTTTTTTGGTGCCAAGAACTGAACTCAGGACCTTGCACTTGCCAGGCAGGTGCTGCACTGCTAGGCAATATTCCCGGCCCTTATTTATCCTCTTTAGAATGCTGGATAAATACAGTGCCTTCTCTTGTCTCCACATTATTGATGTCCTTTAAAAGATGGTATGCAACTATATCCGGATAAAGGTGGCTCCGACTCACCGTGGGGGTGCCCAGTCGTGCCGTGTGCAGTCGAGCAGCGTTCCCACGTACGTCTTGTTCCTCCACGTCACGTTCACCACCAGCATCCCTGGGAAACGAGAAGATGGAGACGTGAGTTGCATAAGCCCTGCGAGTGCAGTCTTCACCTGGGCAGCACTTTGCCTTCTGCAGGAGGTGCTCAAGATGCCGTGGACCCCGGGACAAACAGTCCCAGGGAACGACTGCAGCATGCTGAGACCACAGGAGTGGGCAGCAGCTCAGATGCTTGGGGTGGTCAGGATAGCAGTGTATGTAGCACACTGACTCAGGACAAAGGAGACTTAGCCAGCTCCACAGGGCTGCACCCAGCCTGGTACAGTCAGGACTTTGTATCACACGTGTCCATTTCTTTTCTTTTTTGTCTTTTTTGAGACAGGGTCTCACTATGCAGTTCAGGCTGGCCTTGAGCTCACTTTGTAGCCCAGGCTGGTCTTGACTCACAACGGTCCTCCTGCCTCAGCCTTCTGAGTGCTAGGATTATAGGCATGTGCCAGTCCATTTCTTTTCTAGAATAAGATACCACAGTGAAAAGCATTATTTACGTTGTTTTCACACTTTACACGGATGGAGCCAGGGGGTGCACTACAACTTACACTCCTCACTTCATGCTACAAATTGGAGATTTATCCACGATGATACAAAAAGCTTGATCCATTCATTTTAACTGAGCTCAAAGTACTAACTTCAATAAAATTTGATCACAATTTATATGTTTTCCTGTTGGGGAACATCTTAGGGGTTTCGGGGGTACATTTTCACTTTTAAATGATATCATAATGAATATTTCTGACATGTTTGTTTTATTTAGAAATGTTTTTGAACAGGTAATATAATTATACTCCAAAAGATAGCCAAAAAACCTGCCAAACAAACTCCAAAATAAAATGAAGTGTCACTGTCTTTCAGTCTTCCAGTTCTACTCAGAAGCATCAAAGGGAGTGGGGCATGGCAGTGCACACCTTCATACCAGCACTCTGGGAGGAAGGATTAACTAATGTTCAACTTGTAACACCCAGCTGAACTGAATCAGTGTGGTACTGGGCGTGGAAGGTCCACCTGAGATTTGTTGCCAACGCATAAAAAGAGAACTGGAGGGGAAGAGGGTGCTGTTGATTGTCCTGGAGGAGCCTGTTCGCTGGCTTTCCTGGTATGAACTCGGCTGTTCTCATCTTTGGAGGAGCTCGGGTTCTCACTGTTATTGAGGATGGCTGTGGTTTTCTAAGGACGAGCTCTGGTCCTCACCTTGAGCATCGCTTCCTAGCTATAGTGCAATCCCTCAGCCTGCTGGCACAGATCCTTCCTCCTGCTGGTGCAGACCTTCCAGCCTCCACCACTGACCTCTGGGCCTTTCCAGTGCAGATCCTTGGGACAGACTCACATGAGACCCTTTGCCATGGGCTCTAGGCCTTTGGCTGGATTCATGCAGCACATTGCCATGGGATCCAGGCCCTCAGCTGGATTCTTTGGGTCTCTAGTGTGTGGATAGATTTCCTGTACTCTTTTGCACTTGATTTGTATTTGGTGAATATTATAAAATAATCCTATAAATTATGTGCTCTATTAAATCCATTCCCTTGTAAATCCTGACTACAACAGGACTGAATCTAATGCCTTCCCACTGAGCTATACCCCCAACTCTGTTTTGTTTAAAGTTTTTGACACAGGGACTTGCTAAGTCACTAAATTGCCCAGGTAAGACTCAGTGCAGTCCTCCAGCTTTAGCCTCTCAGACTGCTGGGATTGCAGGCCTGCCTCACTTCTGGCTGTAATTTTTTTTTTTTTTTTTTTTTTTTTGTCTTTTTGAGACAAGGTCTTGCTATGCAGTTCAGGCTGGTCTTGAACTCACTTTGTAGCCTAGGCTGGTCTCGTACTTGCAATGATCCTCCTGCCTCAGCCTCCCGAGTGCT